GAGTGAGCGGGTCCGGAGTGAAAACGGACAAAGTGCTTTGAAAGACAGTGGGCCTTACCCTTGGGGTGAGAGACTTTATTTCAGGCTTTACGTGACATAGGGTTTGACAGGGAGGAGCAGTAGCATGAGGGGTCCAAGTGCTTGGACAGGACGGGACACTGGGTGGCTGTGCAAATATGTGGGTTCCAAGGCCTGGCTTCACTTGCACGGTTCAGGCTGCCCCAAGTCCCATGGTGACCCCTGGAAGAAAGCAGCCTGGTTTTCCTCTGATCCCGTCAGCCCTTGGCCCCAGCTCCTCTGTGCTGTCTACCTCAAAGCTCCCAGGGCGCCCCCCCCCGCCCGCGCCCCGCCCCCCCGGGCGGCCCCCCGGCGCGCCCCCCGCCCCACGCCCCCGGCCCCCCCCCCCCCCCCCCCCCGCCCCGCGCAGGGTCTCCTCCCAGGCTGGGTAGGGGTTTCCGCTGCTGCCCTGGCCTCCAGGGAGTAGGCTGGTGTCGCTGAGTCACTGCCTGGGCATCTGGGCCTGGAAGGGTGGGTGAGTCACCTAGGACCGGGGGCGGGGCGCTGGGGGAGGGGAAGAGGCTTCGGGACATCTGGAGGAGGGAGGGGAGATGGGCCGGCAGGAAGGGCGGTGCCCACACGGGTGGGGGGAGAGGGGGAGCTTGGGAGGGGGCAGCAAGAAGCCAGCTCTTCCCGGAGAGCCCCTCCTCTGGGCTGGGTCCCGGACGCCCCCGCGGCGGCGTGTTTGCCTCTCTCTGGGCAAGGGGAGGAGTCTGCAGGGATGGGGTGTGGGAGGGCGGAGGCCCGCCCGCGGCCCCTCCTCACTCACCCACCCTCGGAGCTGGAGAAGGGCGCCAAGATTTCCCTTCTCCCTTCCAAACCTGCAGGGGCTTCCCTTCTGTGCACACGGGCTGCTGGTGTCCCTCCCTGCCTTCCTGCCTCCTTCCAGGCGCCTCGCTACCCAAAGGGGGCCTGTCAAGGTGTTTTCAGGCACATGATTCCCTCATTACCAAGGAGGATTGTGCCGCCAGCTCGGAAGCTTCCCTGCCCCGCCCCAGTCAGCTCGAACACGCGCGCGTGTGCACACATGCGTGCTCGCACACTAAACACACACACACACACACACACACACACACACACACACACACGAGGTCTGGGAAGTCCCTGGGTGCCTGTAGCCTGACTCACACATGAGCTGTGACTCGAAGGCCTGTGTCCTAAGAGCAAGGCCGGCATGAGTCTCTAGGCCCACAAACAGGGGCTATCTCCCCTCACCCTGGGTCCTGGCTGCCCCTTCCCCATGGTGCCTCCCAGCCCCCTCTGTGGCCTAGAAGGGGCCTTCTCTTCTGGCTGGCAGGCTGGGTTGGAGCTAGCAGTCTCTGGGAGGGAGGGGGCCAGTAGGGAGTGGGTGGGGGTGGCAGGAGGCCAGGCTTTGGCGGGATCAGGTTAGGGCAGGTTGGGGGCCAGTGGGGCGGGATATAAACCCCACTGTACGCACCTGGCCCTTGGCTTTCCTTCCAGAACCTCTCTGCCATCTGGTCTGGTGAGTGTGTCTGTCCTGCTGAGGGCTGGTTAGGAGGCCCCCTGGGTCTCCACCTTGTTCCTTTGTCTTAATCTTTGTCTCCATAGTTGCTTTTCTCATTCAGGGCCTCTCCCTTTGGGTGACCTTCTGTGAAGTGTCTGATCGAGGGCTCTTTCCAGGTTCCTCTGTGAGGTCTCATTTAGGGGTTACTCTGTGGCCTTCTCTTAGGTCTCACGGTCTGGGCATCTCAGTCTAGAGACCCTTCTTGGGGACCTTGGACCAGGAATATGATATGTGTGTGGGTGCTTTAATGAGAGTCCTGAGTTTGTTTGGTTTTGTTTTTTGTTTTTGCAAAGTCCAGGATTCTAGCAAGACTAAGGGACAAGGGCCAGGGATGTCAAGTGTGTGGGCTGCCTGGGTCCCTGTCCTGTGTAGTTCCATAGCTCTGCCTTCCGCCCCTTCCCATTTCCTCTGCCTTGAGAGCTAGCAGGATGGGCCCAGGGCTGTCCTTGCCCCTGACACCAGCTACTGTGGCCTCACCCCAGGACACCCTCTAAGCCTCCCGGGGCTGCTCAGAGCATTCTCAGAGGCAGAGCCTTGGAAAAGATGACCTCTCAGTTCTGTCCTTGTGATCCTGGTGCATAGGACACGCATTTTCTTTAATTCCAACCCCAATAGGACGCTCCCTGGTTCCACATCCAATAGAGACAGCACCCCCTGGCTCAGAGGTCTCCAGTGTGATGGGAAATACATCCCTCTGAGAGTCCCGTGTCCAGTGGAGGAAACATACTTGCCCGAGGGCGTTTCCAGTCTCACCCCCCCCCCCCCAGCCTTAGGAGTCCGTTGTCTTGAGGGGTGGGGGTGGGGGGCGGAAGTGTTTCCTCAGGGAAGCTCATACCCTGGGTTGCAGCCATGGCTACTGCCAGAGCCCAGTGAGCCCCCACTCACTGGCTCATGGAGAGGCCACCTCCCCAGTGCTGGCCTGTGGAAGGGGCTCCATAGAGAGGACCCAAGTGGGACTCCAGCCACCTTGCCATTTCCCTTCCCACAGACAGAGTGGGGAGCCCTGCCCTCAGGGGTGTGCCACAAGTGTGACCAGAGTAGACATGAGGCCCCTCCCTTGGTGACTTCCAAACACAGGGGAAGGTTTAGCATCTGTCCACAGTGGGCCCTGCCTAGGAAGGCCCTGTCTCCGGGGCGATGTGGAGAGGGGTTTGGAGATGAGATGGAGTTTAGGACACAAGGGCAGGTGGGTCCCCCTGGCTGGGCTGAAGTTGTCTCCATCACCTGCAATCCTATGGCCCCAGATCCAAGATGTCCAGTCCCCTGGAGCAGGCACTGGCTGTGATGGTCACCACCTTCCACAAGTACTCAGGCCAAGAGGGTGACAAGTTCAAGCTGAGTAAGGCGGAGATGAAGGCACTTCTGCACCAGGAGCTGCCCAGCTTTGTTGGGGTGAGTGGGGCCAGCTGGTGGGAGGGTCCTGCTGACCAAACATGGGGCACAGCCTCACCAAGGGGGTGAGGCCCAAGTGTGAGTGTCCTATTGCTGCTGTCCCTGCAGCTTGCCACAGGATGGGTGTGTGTGCTGTCAGGGCCCTCGGCATCCATCTGTCCAGCCCCCTCCCTGAATTGAACAAACCGGAGCCCAGAGAGGGGGAAATGACTGGCCCAAGAGCCCACAGTTCTGTCAATCTTAGTTTCCATATTATGTGCCAAACTAAGAAGGTGTATAGGGACACAAAAGCCCAGCTAACACATGTACCCTGGGACATTTTGCAGGAAAATGCAGTCAACTTTCAGTTGGCCCCTCACCTGTCCCGTAGTGACTCCTGGATAATTACGAAGTCAGGTCTAAGGCTTTGAACTTGTGAGGCATGGCCTTTTTTTCCTTTCAAATTTGTTTTTGGTTAAAATTTTCTAATTTTGTTTCACTTTGGCAGGTATTAAAAAGTTTTCCTTTTCTGAATTCAGAAATTTTTAGTTTCTTCATGAGCAAAATGGGGGTAGTGATAATGCCTACCTCGCTGGGCCCAGGGAATCCTGGCATGTTCCTCACTCCCAGCAGTGAGCGCTGGAGACCTTCCCCGATGAACATCCAGCTACCTGTCCTCATTCACAGGGCCCCTTTGTAGCTTCCAGGGGCTCCCTGCCCACCACTTGCCTGCTGCCCAGTGCAGACAGAGGGCTGGGCTCTGACCAGTAAGTGTGTGTTTGACGCAGGGGTGTGTGGAAAGCAACCTGCTGAGTCATTCCCTCTTGCTTTCAGGAGAAGGTGGATGAGGAGGGCTTGAAGAAGCTGATGGGAGACCTGGATGAGAACAGTGACCAGCAGGTGGACTTCCAGGAGTATGCTGTTTTTCTGGCCCTGGTCACTATCATGTGCAATGACTTCTTCCAGGACTCCCCAGACCGGCCCTGAAGCGAAGCTCTCACTCTACCAGGGGCCTGATGGGCCCATGAGGACTCTCCTTACCCTTTTATACTCAATAAACTTTTCTGTTGATCATCTTTTACTTGCTCATTGATGCCCTATACCCTGGCTGGCTCAGTTGGGGTGCTGGAAAATGAGGTCTTCCTTGGATCCCACCCCCTCTGGGCCCTGACTTTTCTGGAAATCTCACCAAGGCCAGAGCTGTGCCTTAGGTCCCAGACTTTGGGATTCCAAATACTGGTAAAAATTTGAGATAGTTTGCTAAAGTTTCCACACCCCCCCCCTCCATGACGATATTAAAAGGGGCAAAACCATCTACCATTGCTGTCATTTCATGAAAAGAAAGTCCCAACAAAGAGGGATATAACTTCAGAACAAAGGACAGACCTTGACATTCAATACTATGAGCAATCAGTTGTACTGGAATCAGCTCAAGAGGCATCAGTTAGTCTCATCCACCTGGCAGACCTTTGCATTGAGGACTTCTGTCAGGTTGCAGGCCCTATTTCAGCAGTGGCCCTATTTCAGCAAAGCTGTATTTCTTTTGATATTTGCTCTTAGATTGGCTCTAGTTTGAGTTCTTTCTTCTTCTGTGTGTCTCTACTGAAAACTACCAGGTGCTACTTCATATCAACATCCTGATTTTTTTCTACCGTTTTCCCTAAACTTGTAGCAAGGTTGCCATCTGTTCTGCACACTGTGGTGCATCAGGTGACAGCCAAATGCTTTGCCACCTGCTAACAAAGTCACTGACTTTCCAGCGGGCAAAGGTGAGGTCCTCATATTTATTCTTTCTCTCTTCAATTAATTACACATGTTAGGCTCTCTCTCTCTCTCTCTCTCTCTTTTAGTGGATCCCATTTCTAGTTACCAAATTCTCTACCAGTTACGACTGTATTCAGTTGTAAGGCACAGGAAACCTGACTAACAATGGCATAAAGAAATTTGCATTTAAGTGCCTTATAAAATAAGTCCGAGATTCAGAATTCAGACTCAGAGATCCTGTTCTGGCCCCCTATTGCTGCATTACATACCACCCAACACTTGGTAAATTAAAACAAATTTATTATCTCTCAAGGTTCTATAAGTAGACTGTAATCAGTCAATGGGGTTCTCATTTGGGACCTCTCATGCAGTTGAAGACAGATGTTGGGGCTGGAGTCATCAGAAAGTTCAAATTAATTCAGTTTCCAAGGTGGCTCACTCAATTACCCTGGCATTTGGCACCAGTTGTTAGCTGGGAGTCAGCTGGAATGCCTACCTGTGACCTCTCTATGTAGCTTGGGCTTCTCAGAACATGGCATCTAGGTTCTGAGAGGAAGTGTACCCAAAGTGAGCAGCCCAAGAGGCCCCAAAGGGGGCTATGAGGCTTTTTAAGATTTATCTCAGAAATCCAAGAGCGTCATTTCTGCTGCATTCTGTTGATCAAGTAAGTCATTATGCTGGCCCAGATTCAAGGAGAAGAGAATTAGGCCCCATCTTTTCATGTGAGGAGCAGTAGCATGAAGTTAACAGTGGCCATCTTTGGAGACTGTATACCATGGTCTGACTTCTAGCAACCATGTACAAAATGCAGTCACCTCCTTCCCCAAACCCACCTCATTAAGGCATCAATGTGAGGCCGAGGGGCTCGTCATCCATGTCAGGTCTGAATCTGGATGTCATCCATCTCTGCATGTACCTCATCAAGAGTGCTTCTCCTTGACTTGAGGATCTATGAAGAACAGATTCAATACACAAAGGTGAGACAGGTAATAAATACTCCTAGTCAAAAAGAGTGGTGGTAGATTGAAGGCACAAAAGTGCCATTGGTCCATAGCAATTCTGAAATGGAGTCAGACACATGCCATCAGATTCTTGACTAGTGTCCAGTTCTGCTTCCTATAAGTGGTTCTTGGATCCACTCTCTTGGCTCTCGGTTTCATTTTCTTTAACTCTTTATTTTCTGTACGCAATGTCTGTGTTTGTAGCTAAGCGGCTTTCTCAGCCTTGGGCCTTCTGCCCAAGGAAGTCGATCACCCAAAGCTTCTTTTGTTTGAATTGTCTCTATCCCTTTCAGTCAAAGCTTATGTAATTCCTTTAAAAATGTTGTGGACTTGGGGTGCCTGGGTGGCTCAGTTGGTTAAGCCTCCGACTTCAGTTCAGGTCATGATCTCACAGTTTGTGGGTTCTGGCCCCATGTTGGGCTCTGTGCTGACAGATCAGAGCCTGGAGCCTGCTTCAGTTTTGTGTCTCCCACTCTCTTTTCTCCTCCCCCACTCATGCTTTGTCTTTCTCTCTCTCTCAAAAATAAATTTAAAAATTTTTTAAAAAAGGAAAAAGGTTGTGGACTTCTTGTGTATCAACTTATAATTCACTTAATTAGACAAAAGCCACACTTAACAAATCTCTCTGAGACTGGTGCCTCCCTACCTTACACCGAGGAACAGGGAGCTGGGAGAAAGGCCCTCCTGTCTGAAAGGGTCTAAGAGGCACACTTCTTTCTTTCCTTTCCTTTCCTTTCCTTTCCTTTCCTTTCCTTTCCTCTTCTTTTCTTTTCTATCTTCTCTTATTATCTTAAATACAATTTATTGTCAAGTTAGCTAATGTACAGTGTATACAGTGTGCCCTTAGCTTCAGCAGTAGATTCCCATGATTCATCACTTATGTACAATACCCAGTGCTCATCCCAACAAGTACTCCCCTAATGCCCATCACCCACTTTCCCCTCTCCCCTGCATCCCCCACCCGCAACCTCAGTTTGTTCTCTGTATTTAAGAGTCTTTTATGGTTTGCCTCCCTCTCTGTTTGAAACAATTTTTCCTCCTTCCCTTCCTCCATGGTCTTCTGTTAAGTTTCTCAAGTTCCACATATGAGTGAAAACACATGGTATCTGTCTTTCTCTGGCTGACTTATTTCACTTAGCATAATACCCTCCAGTTCCATCCACATTGTTGCAAATGGCAAGATTTAATTCTTTCTTGTTGCCAAGTAGATTCCATTGTATATATAAACCACATCTTCTTTATCCATTCATCAGTAGATGGACATTTAGACTCTTTCCATAATTTGGCTATTATTGATAGTACTGCTATAAACATTGGGGTGCATGTGCCCCTATGCACCAGCACTTCTGTATCCTTTGGATAAATTCCCACTATTGCAATTGCTGGGTCATAGTGTAGTTCTATTTTTAATTTTTTGGGGGAACCTCCACACTGTTTTCCAGACTGGCTGCACCAGGTTGCATTCCCACCAACGATGCAAGAGGGTTCCCATTTCTCCACATCCTCTGAAATTCCACATGTATTTTCCTGAATTGTTAATTTTAGCCATTCTGACTGGTGGGAGGTGGTATCTCAGTGTGGTTTTGATTTGTATTTCCTTGATGGTGAGCCATGTTGAACATCTTTTCATGTGTCTGTTGGCCATTTGGAGGTCTTCTTTGGAAAAGCGTCTGTTTGTGTCTTCTACCCATTTCTTCACTGGATTATTTGTTTTTTGGGTGTTGTGTTTGGTAAGTTCTTTATAGATTTTGGATACCAACCCTTTATCTGATATGTCATTTGCAAATATCTTCTCCCATTTTGTCGGTTGCCTTTTAATTTTGTTGATTGTTTCCTTTCCTGTGCAGAAGTTTTTTATCTTGATCAAGTCCCAATAGTTCGTTTTTGCTTTTACTTCCCTTGCCTTTGGAGATGTGTCAAGTAAGAAGTTGCTGCGGCTGAGGTCAAAGAGGTTGTTGCCTGTTTTCTCCTGTAGGGTTTTGATGGTTTCCTGTCTCACATTTAGGTCTTCATCCATTTTGAGTTTATTTTTGTATATGGTGTAAGAAAGTGGTCCAGTTTCATTCTTCTGCATGTTGCTGTCCAGTTCTCCCAGCACCATTTGCAAAGAGACATTTTTCCATTGGATACTCTTTCCTGCTTTGTCAAAGATTAGTTGGCCATACATTTGTGGACCTAATTCTGGGTTCTCTGTTCTATTCCACTGGTCTATGTGTCTGTTGTTGTGCCAATACCATACTGTCTTGATGATTACAACTTTGTAGTAGAGACTAAAGTCCGGTATTGTGATGCCTCCTGCTTTGGTTTTCCTTTTCAACATTACTTTGGCTATTTGGGGTCTTTTGTGGTTCCATACAAGTTTTAGGATTGTTCTAGCTCTGAGGAAAATGCCAGTGCAATTTTGATTGGGATTGCATTGAACGTATAGATTGCTTTGGACAGTATTGGCATTTTAACAATATTTGTTCTTCCAATCCATGAGCATGGAATGTTTTTGCATTTCTTTGTGTCTTCTTCAATTTCTTTCATAAATTTTCTATAGTTTTCAGCATATAAATCTTTTACATCTTTGGTCAGGTTTATTCCTAGGTATTTTATGGTTCTCAGTGCAGTAGTAAATGGGACTGATTTCTTGATTTCTCTCTTTCTGTTGCTTCATTATTGGTGTATAGACATGCAACCGATTTCTGTACATTGACTTTGCATCCTGCGACTTTGCTGAATTCATGTATCAGTTCTAGCAGCTTTTTGGTGGAGTCTTTCGGGTTTTCCATGTAGAGTATCATGTCATCTGTGAAAAGTGAAAGTTTGACTTCTTTGCTAATTTAGATGGCTTTTATTTCATTTTGTTGTCTGATTGCTGAGGCTAGGACTTCCAACACTATGTGAAACAACAGTGGTGAGAGTGGACATCCCTGTCATGTTCCTGATCTCAGGGGGAAAGCTTTCAGTGTTTCCCCATTGAGGATGATATTAGCTGTGGACTTTTCTTATATGGCTTTTATGATGTTATGTTCCTTCTATCCTCACTTTCTTGAGGGTTTTTATTAATAAAGGATGCTGTATATTGTCAAATGCTTTTTCTGCATCTATTGACAGGATCGTATGGTTCTTATCCTTTCTCTTATTAATGTGATGTATCACATTGATTGATTTGCCAATATTGAAACAGCCCTGCAGCCCAGGAATGAATTCCGCTTGATCATGGTGAATAATTCTCTTAACATGCTGTTGAATTTGATTTGCTAGTATCTTGTTGAGAATTTTTGCATCCATGTTCATCAGGGATATTGGCCTGTAATTCTCCTTTTTAGTGAGGTCTCTGTCTGGTTTGGGAATCCAGGTAATGCTGGCTTCAAAGAATGAGTCCACAAGTTTTCCTTCCATTTCTATTTTTTGGAACAGCTTGAGAAGAATAGGTATTAATTCTGCTTTAAATGTCACAGAATTTCGGGGCGCCTGGGTGGCGCAGTCGGTTAAGCGTCCGACTTCAGCCGACTTCAGCCAGGTCACGATCTCGCGGTCCGTGAGTTCGAGCCCCGCGTCAGGCTCTGGGCTGATGGCTCAGGGCCTGGAGCCTGTTTCTGATTCTGTGTCTTCCTCTCTCTCTGCCCCTCCCCCGTTCATGCTCTGTCTCTCTCTGTCCCAAAAATAAATAAACGTTGAAAAAAAATTACAAATAAATGTCACAGAATTTCCCTGGGAAGCCATTTGGTCCAGGACTCTTATTTGTTGGGAGATTTTTGATAACCGATTCAATTTCTTTGCTGATTATAGTCTGGTCACATTTTCTATTTCTTCCCATTTGAGTTTTGGTATTGTGTGGGTGTCTAAGGATTTGCCCATTTCTTCCAGGTTGTCCAGTTTGTTGGCATATAATTTTTCATAGTATTTTATATTTCCCTGATAATTGTTTGTATTTCTGAGGGATTGGTTGTAATAATTCCATTTTCGTGATTTTATCTATTTGGGTCCTCTCTCTTTTCTTTTTGAGAAGTCTGGCTTCTTTTCTTCTTTCAAAAAACCAGCTCTTAGATTCATTGATCTATTCTACTTTTTAAAAAATTCTATATTGTTTATTTCTGCTTCAATCTTTATTATGTCTCTTTTTCTGCTGGCTTTGGGGTTTCTTTGCTGCTTCTAGTTCTTTTAGGTGTGCAGTTAGGTTTTATATTAGGGATTTTCCTCGTTTCTTGAGATAGGCCTGGATTGCAATGTATTTTCCTCTTAGGACTGCCTTTTCTGCATCCCAAAGTGTTTGGACTGTCGTGTTTTCATTTTCATTTGCTTCCACATATTTTTAAATTTCTTCTCTAATTGCCTGGTTGACCCATTCATTCTTTAGTAGGGTGTTCCTTAACCTCCATGCATTTTGGAGGTTTTCCAAACTTTTTCCTGTGGTTGATTTCAAGTTTCATAGCATTGTGATGTGAAAGTGTGCATGGTATGATCTCAATTCTTTTATATTTATTGAGGGCTGTTTTGTGAGCCACTATGTGGTCTATCTTGGAGAATGTTCCATGTGCACCGGAGAAGAATGTGTATTCTGCTGCTTTTGCGTGAAAAGAGGCACACTTCTAAAATTATTAGAAGCCAACTTGTTTATCTAGATCTATGAGACTTGTCCTTAAATCTTTTTAAGTCTCTACTTTGACTTCAGTTTTTCCCTGATCTCTTTTTACTGGCAAGACCCTGGATTTGATCTTTGTCCTGAAGCCATTTATTACTTCTAGAGCCATTTGCTGGCTGTAAAGATTGTTCGGGGCCCTCTATATTTCCTTTAAAAAGACTGAGTCTTGGGGCGCCTGGGTGGCGCAGTCGGTTGAGCGTCCGACTTCAGCCAGGTCATGATCTCGCGGTCCGTGAGTTCAAGCCCCGCGTCAGGCTCTGGGCGGATGGCTCAGGGCCTGGAGCCTGTTTCCGATTCTGTGTCTCCCTCTCTCTCTGCCCCTCCCCCGTTCATGCTCTGTCTCTCTCTGTCCCAAAAATAAATACACATTGAAAAAATAAAATAAAAAGACTGAGTCTTTTAGTTCATCTCTTTCTTCTCATATCATATTTTATCATAGGCATCCAGAAAAAGCAGGCACTTGTAACATTCCGCCTAAACCTCTCCTTAGCTAAACCCATGAGTTCATTAGGTGCTCTTTCTGTTTTCCATATTACCATAGACAGTAATGTTCCCAGACATTCCACTGCTACATAACAGGGGTTGCTTTTCTTAGCTTCAGTAACAATTTCCTCACTGTCCTTCCAGTTATTACTACTAACCTCCTGGAGGTCCGTGTAGCTTTCAGTCATTGCCTGGTCCCAAAGCCAATGACACGTGCTTCAGGTTTTTGTAACAGCGGCATCCCACTTTTGCAGGTCTTTGATGAAAGATTCAAGGAACCACCTCATGCTAACTTTCTACACTTTTTGTGCCAATTCCTTTATCACTACATTTAGGTTTCCATTTGGTCTGCATCCCAAGGTACATCAATGGACAATTAGACCAAATATTTTGTCATTTCCTAACAAGGGTCCCGGCTTTCCAGCCTGCACATATTGGGTTCTCCTGTCTCTCTGTCTTCCCTCCTCTGCTTAGCCAATTCCACATTTTAGATTCTTTTACTTTAGAACTCCAGTTTCAGATGCAAAATTGTCTATCCATTTGGAATTTATTCACCTATGAATTGCAGATAACCTGACCAATAATAGTGGCTTTAATTGTCTTATATAACAAGAAGTCTGGGGTGGGCAGTTCAGGGTTGGTTTGGGGCACTAAGTGTCTTTTCATTTTTTTTCTTTTTTCTTTGTAACCTATAGTATATATGCTTTTCCCTTCTTGCATGCTGCTTCATGATCACAAGATGGCTGCTATAGCTCCAGGTTTCACTGTCCATGTTCCAGTCTGGAAGATAGAGGAAGGGTAAGATGCAGAAATCTTTCACTGAGATTTATTTTTGAGAAGAGAGAGACAGAGCATGAGTGGGGGAGGAGAGAGAAAGAGGGAGACACAGAATCTGAAACAGGCTCCAGGCTCTGAGCTGTCAGCAGAGTCTGACATGGGGCTCAAACTCACGGACCGTGGGATCATGACCTGAGCCGAAGCCAGACGCTTAACCGACTGAGCCACCCAGGTGCCCCGAGACTTTGCTTTTTTATTATGCAGGAAGTACTCTCTCCAGGTAATTCCACTTACAACTCTTTGGTCATAACAATGAAATATGATGTAATGTGGCTTAGCTGAAACCAAGTAGCTTTAGCTGGGTATGTTGACACTTTGAAAGAAAAAAAGTTAAAAAAAATTAAAAAAAAATTTTTTTTAAGTAGGCTTCATGCCCAGCATGGAGCCCAATGCAGGGTTGAACTCATGACCCTGAGGTTAAGACCTGACCTGAGGCCCAAAGTTGGATGCTTAACCAACTGAGCCACCCAGGCACCCCTAGGTTTTAATAATAAGGAAAGAGAGACTGGGCAGTTGCTTTCTTACTTTTCTTACTTCCATGGGAAAGTGTGATGCTTGCCAGACACTTAGAAGGAGCTCAGACTAGAGCCCCGAAGACGGAGGGGAGCTGAGGGAGAAGGTACAGGGGACAACCTGCTGGTTCTCATGCTTCTGCGTAACCATGTGTCTGGGCCAGCGAGGCAGGCTGGTCAGGCCCAGCGACAAGAAGACAGAAGCCTGCCTGCTACCGTCTTGTAGGAGAGGGCCTGAGATGGAGAGAAACACGCCCACAGCTGCTCTCTCAGCCCCGTCACTAGACTCTCTCCACAGAGGAGGAAACAGGGAGGGAGCAGCGTCTGCAGTTCCTGGGGGTGTCCCTCCGCCCAGGCTCTCTGCTGGGCCTGTCGAGCACTGTCTCCTCGAGTCCTCACAACGGTTGGAAGAGGGCTGTGCTGGTAGTAACTGCACTTCCAAGAGGAGGGAATCGGGGCTGGGAGAGTCGAATAAGGAGCAGTGCTGGGACTTGACCCCGGTCTGTAAGAAAGGCCTCACGTCTACAGGACACAGGATACTGGAGTCAAAGGTCTTCCTCCCCTTCTTTTGGCTACGTCCAATGCCTTGGGGTTTGTGTGAAGGCAAGGGGACTTGGGTGACGTGAGAGTAAGTGAGATGGTTCATTTTCAGAAATACCAAATAAAGCTGTGCTGTCTAGTTACCAGTAGGTTTACAACCTATTGGAAATATGTATGAACCCCATCCCCGCCAAACAATAGAGTCCCAAACCCTTAGACATAGCACTTTCTGGTTCTTCTTCCCCTCTCCATTTTGCCGGCTGTGCAATGAGCATGAGCCAAAGAACTGGAGTCTCTGCCTCACCTCAAGGAATGTACATTTGTTCCAATCAGACTACTTTTTGTCTTATGTGGGCACAGGTGACTTCTGGGTAAGGCTGTAACCTCTGTCGTGCTCAGCCAATGAGGAACCAGGGCAGGCACTTACCTCTGTAGTGCTCAGCCAATGAGGAGCCAGGGGAAGGACTTCACACTAGGAGGTAAGTTTCTGTAACTGCCCCGAGCTTGCCTGTCCATCAGACCTGCTCTTGCAAGAATGTTGGTTAAAGCCTTGCTTCACTGTGTTGTAAGTCTCCATGGTCCCTCCTTTGATTGGGTCAGTGGGTTTATTTCTCACAGGGGAGCGGAGTCCAGACCTTCTTGGTCTCTTGATTCTGAATCAAGGGGAAACCCGACTCACTTGGTGGTGGTCTGATTGCTCACGATGGATCCTGGCTTCTGCTGGGACTTAGTTTCCCATTCTTGGACTGTTTTGGCTGGTGGAGACTGGCCTCAGATGGCTGGGCATTAAATGGGGCTAATTTCTTTTGCTTCTGAGCATTTGACACACTAACAAACGCCAGACTTACCTAGCTGGTCGCAAGAATCCTCTCACAAAATCTCTGCTGAGGCAGAGCAGGAGGGTCCAGAAAATGGCACTGTTCAGAGGACCGTTGGCCAAGTTACTTCCCACCTGCTCTTGGAGCTACAGCTGGAAGGAGAGCCCCAGGAGAGCCTCACCTCCTATCGGGGATTGCTGCCGCCTCAGCCTTTGCTCTTTTGGGTCTACCCTTGACAGCCTATTGACCCTCCAAGAAAGAGGTACTGGAGTCACAGGTGGCTTCTGAGACCGGGGAATGACTGAAATGGGGCTCCCCATGCTCCTAGCTTCAGGTCACATGATCTCTCCACCAGCTCACTGCTCCCATCTGGGAAGTGGGCACAACTGGCATTGACTTGGCCATCAAAAGCGGTAGCAGGTCTAAGCCCCACAGGCTCTCCTTGGTCTCAGTTCAGACATCCCCAGAAAAGGTTTCTCTGGCTGCAGCCCCAGTAATCAAACATTCCCTCCTCACCTCCCCACAGGTGGTTTAGATGATGAGAAATAACTCGCATCAGAGGGACAACAGCTCATGGCTCCGTGGGGCTTGGGGACTGGGAGTGCTTACCCTGTCCCTTGGGCCCAGATCCTTCTGGAACAAGCACTTGAATATCCAGGTGCTCTTTATTTCTCCTTGAGGTGAAGAACCAGACACTGACCTTCAGAGGGCCATGCAATTTCCCAAGAGCCTTTCAAAGGCTGTGGTGATAATAGTGGGGGCAGTGGAGGGGGAGGAGGAGAAGGAGAGAGAAGGGGAGAGGAAGGAGAAGGGGGAGGGCATGGGGAGAGGGGGAGGGGGAGGGAGAAAAGAAGAGGGGGGAGGGGAGGAAAGGAGAGGGGGAGGGAAGGGGGGGCGAGGGGGAGGGAGGGAGAAGGGAGGAGAGATGGAGGGGGAGGGGGAGGGAGAGGGAGGGGGAGGAGAGAGAGGGAGGGAAAGGGAGGGGGAGGGGAAGGAGGGGAGGGGGAGGGGGACAGGGAAAGGGGAGGCAGGGAAGGGGAGGGGAGGGGGGGGTGAGGGGGGCAGGGAGAGGGAGGGGAAGGGGAGGGAGAGGAGGGGGAGGGTCAGTGCTGTAGAAAGTCCTTCCCGGTCAGAGGGCATCTCTCCCACCCTCCCACCCACAGGTGGGGCAGAGACTCACCTTCTAGATGTGCTGCCGTCCTCAGCAGCAGGCTCCACGCCTGCATCGCCAGCTGTGGTGAGGGCTCCAAGGCACAGAATCAAGTGGACCGTGGAGGGTGGGGAAGGAGGAGCATCCAGGGAGCTGTGCCCGCCTCGCGGGTGAGCGCCCGCCCCTCCCCCCGCAGCGGGCAAACAGGCGCAGCCTCACTCGGGGAAAGGGGCCGTGGGCTGAGGACCCCGCCCTCGGTGCCGGCCCGCCACCCCCCTTTCCCTTGGCACGGATACCACCAACCTGGCCTACGTTTGTTTGTTGTCACCTGTGTCCCCCATTTGGTTGTCATCGCCACAGAGCCAGGACGAATCTGTCTTGTTTCTGAGCACACCCACGGTGCCTCAGACAGGTGCCTTAAATAGTTACATGAATAATGAGCGGCTCTTAGGCCTGCCACTTGTTAGGTATGTGACCTCAGGCAAGTCACCTACCTCTCAGTTAACATCTGTGCCCTGACTATGAGCAGGCGCTGTGTGTGCGTTTTGTACACACGGACTGACGTAAGCCCGGAAGGAATCCCGTGAAGTAGCCACCATTATTACCCTTGATCCGCAACAGATAGGGACGTGAGGCCCAGAGGGGTGGGGTGACCCTGCTTCAGCTCTGCCGGCAAGGCTGGGGTATCACAGGCTGGAGTCAGTGAGTGGCCTGGAATTGGATTAGCTGCTGGTCCCCACTTCTGTCCCCCCTGCTCCTCATAACCTTGCCTATAAAACAGGGCTAATCACAGCTCTCCCTTCCCTCCCCTGCTTGTTCCCTTCACCTGCAGGGGCTGAGTCCTCAAGGAGATGATGCCCAGGCTGGGCCTGGATGCTGGGCGCCCTGGCTGAGGTCAAGGTGTCGTGAGATCTGGGGCTGCCTCCACAAACAATAGGGCTTCTTTGGAGGCCTGGGTGCGGCTCTCCTCTCCCCCTTCCCACCCTCCTCTGGGTGTTGGGCTCTCGTGCTGTGAAACAGGGAGGGGTCTCTCAGGCTGGGGCATGCATGAGGGCACAGAGAAGTGATATGGAGGGATTTCCACGTCTGATAATATGGTGCTTTGTGCCTGCTCCAGCTAAAAATAACAAAAAATGCTGGATAGAATTAAAAAATAACATGTTTCAAAGCAATGAAGAGCTCACAGGGCAGTAAGAGAACGCTGAGTCCCAGAGGTGAGCAGGACACCAGGGCCCCTCATGCCCTGAGAGCACTGGCCCCACTAAGCCAAAAGGACCTTTGGTTTCACAGTCTGTGGAGTGAGGAAGACAGAGCCTGAAGCCCAGCGTTCGTGGAGGAGAGGAGACACAGGGGCAGCCCCCATGATGCTGGGACCCCAAAGGGCTCCACACTCCAGCTAGAGCCAGAGGAAACCCAGCCCCACCCCATCGGACCCTCCCGGAACGGAGGGCAGGACACAGACCTCAGGCTGTACGCACAGGGGGCCGTGCAGGGTCTGAGGTCACTCGCAGCACTTGGGGGCCGTGGGGGCCGCAGAGGAGTCAGCATGACCGTGGAAGGGCTCTGCCGGCAACTTGCCTTCCTCTTCCTCCAGGCCCGCTGAACAAGGTCTCACACGGGGGAGAGCCGTTCACAGCTGAAAGTGACCAAGGACACTGATCCAGAGGCCAGGCAGGGAGGGTGTCTCATACCTCAGTGTCCTCACTTGTAAATAGGGGGGGCTAAGCAGATGTCTCCAAGATCCTCTTTGGCACAGGGGTTCCCTAGGGGTGAGGCTAAGTGTGCCCCCCACTTTGCATGCTTCTAGGGTGCTTGTTCAGAGTGAAGAGGTGGGGACAGATGTGAGGGGTTAGCCTATCTCCTCCAACGGGCGCTGGAAGATCAGGGGTGGGGTGCTGCGCCCGGTCCCCAACTCTGGGGGCAGGCAACGAGGGGGTAGTGTCTGTGGCTCAGACTTGGCCTTTGATGTGTGCATGGATGGGGGGGTAGTGGGGCTGGTAATAAGGGCCGCCAGGGAAGGAGGCAGGGGAGCCCCTGGGGGCATCCTCAGCTTGACCTACTTGGGCCCCCATAATTGCTTCCTTCCTTCCATGGGAGAGTACAAATAGGGATGTCCTGTCTCTTGCCTCCTACAGCTGAAACGCCGACACCAGTGGTGAGTGCCAGCTGCTTGGGTCCTGCCCTGGATTGGGTGTTGGGCAGTTCGGGGTCTGTCTCCTGGCCCAGGTCTGGGTCTGGGGGCAGAGTGATGAGCACAGCAGGGACCAGAGAGGTGAGGGCAGTCAGATATGGTGGGCTCAGGGGTTCTTTGTACACTCAGGGGTGTGCAGAGCTGAGGTCTGCAGGGGTGGGGGCCGCGGGCTAAAAGCACTGGTGTTGGCTCCCTTTCCATGTTGTCCCCCACCCCCCCTCTTCCTGCTGAAGCCTGAGACAGGCCAGGGCTACGCCGCTGGGAAGAGGAATCCCTCCAGTCTCCAGGCACCCAGCTTCTGAAAGATCAAGCACGGTGGCATCAGCCCGGCTGGCAGGAGCCCCGAAGGGCCGCTGAGCACCTCTGAGGTTGCTATTCCCTGGGTTTGTGGCCCTTTCCTCTACTGAGAACCCAGACACCCTGCGCCACAGGGCTGTCACAAAGGGACCGCAGCCCCCAGCCATGCGCGCCTCTCACTCCACAGGGCCCAGCAGAGGGGAATCAGGGAGAGAGCCCTGGCACTGGCAGCCGCGCTGCAGACTCCTGTCCCCTGGGGGACCGAGCAGGGAGGCCCTGGGCTCCCCTGGGAACAGCCCCGCCTCCCCTCCGGCTGTTTCCTACAGAAGGAGCTGGGATCCTTTAGGCCAGGGGGCTGTGTATCTCATGGGGTGGTTGGGGCTGAGCCCTTCCTGGGTGTCAGGGATGCCCAAAGGCAGAGAACTGGGGAGTCCTCAGGGATCCCCAGTATGGAGGTGCAGTCAGAGGACAGGGCACTCTCCCTGAGAAGTGTGCGGTGATGTTAGGGAAACGAGACCTCCGCCGGGAGAATAACAGTGGAGGCAGTAGGGGGAAAATTAGAAGGAGCCGGAGAGCTTAAAGGAGAGGGCAGCTCAGAGGAGGTGGAGCTTGTGGGGCTGGAAGCCGAGTGGAGATGAAGACAGGACTGGGAGCAGACCCTGGGAAGCGCAGAGGGCAGAGGTGCCCTGGGCCTCTGGTGTGAGTCAGCCCTTGTTCTCCCACAGTGAGGATGGCCACACCTCTGGAGCAGGCGTTGGCTACAGTCGTGAGCACCTTCCGGAAATACGCGGAGCTCTCCGGGGGCAAGCACGGGCTCTGCCAGGCAGGGCTCAAGGAGCTGCTACAGAAGGAGCTGCCCACCTGGACCCCGGTGAGCCCCCTGGGGGCCCCAGGCAGCGCTGCCTGGACTCTGCAGAGGCAGAGCTGGGGACGAGCCCCCGGCAGGTGGGGTACAGGCGAGGCTGTGGGCCCCTGAGTTCTCATCCGTGTTTCGGGAAGACAGTCACTGGACCTGCTGCTTTGCAGGGCTGCTGGGAGGACTGATTCACAGCACCGTGGAGAGTTCCTGACGCGTAGTAGGCACTCAGCAGCCAGCAGGGGGGTCTGAGAAGGAGGGTTCAGGGGGCACTGAGGTTCAGGGGAGGTGTGGGACCACCCAGGAGGGGAGGGTGCAGTGGTGGCACGCTCTGTCCTCAGCCTTGCCCCCCCCCCCCCCGCGCCCCACTGCACAGATGGGGCTCCGAGAGTGTGACTACAGTGCATTCATGAGCGTCCTGGACACCGACAAGGACTGCAAGGTGGACTTTGTGGAGTACGTGCGCTCCCTGGCCTGCCTCTGCACTTTCTGCCACGACTACTTCGAGGACGTGACCCCTGTGACCCCCTGCTCCCAGTAGGCTCTGCTCCTGAGGACAGGGGTCTGCTCGGGCAGGACCTGTCCCCCCACCCCCGTCCTGCACCTCCAACATCCCAGCTAGAGAGTCACAGAGCTGCTGCCCCCTCCCACGGCCGTGACTGTGGTGGGGAAGGGCACATTCAACCCCTAATAAAGTGCTGGTGTCACTTGGTCTGGTTTGCTTCTTCTGGGAGGACAGCCGGGGCCTGGGGCAGAGTCTTCCCTTCTCTCCGGTCTCAGGGCAGGCGTCAGCTTGGCAGCAGCCTGGTCTCCAGCTCTGGCAAGAGCGGTGGGGTCAATACAAGGACAGCATCCAGGGGCCTTGGGGGGTTCTCTTTCTCCGTCTCTCTGGGGTCTTTGGAGGACAGCTGTGCTCACCACTGTACCACCAACGCTCTCTGGGGTCTTTGAAGAAGAAGCTCCCTTGGGCTGCCAAGGAGGACGCCAGGGCATCCGTTCCCTGGGGACAGAGCTCAGTCCTCTGTGAGGCCGCTCTGAGGAGGAGGGTAGGGGTGGGGCGTAGGGGTGCGGCGGGATTGTCCCTGCCTGGCTGTGGGAGTCCAGAGAGCAGAACTAATAGGATTAGGGTGTCTGAGGTCTGACTGGGGTACTGCTCCTGGCCAGGGAGGCGTGCCGCGCCCTGCATTGGAGGGGGAAGGGGACGCCTGGAGACAGACCCCGCCCCTGAGGCTGTAGCCACGTGAAGGTCAATTCGGGTTCGTACCGCACTGAGAAGCTGACCCCGTTCCCTGCCTTCCTTGTTTTGTGGGATTGCTCCTTTAACTTTGCACCCCGCCGTGCATGCTTCACCTTAACACCATCCCAACTCCAGATGCCCCCTCCCCACCACTCTGGGTAGCTGCAGTCCACCCCTGAGCCCTGCACCTGGCTCCCACTCCATCACCGCCTCAGCCAGGACCTTCGTCCACTGACATGCCTGGGATGGTCCCAGCAGTGACTTTGGGTGTTGGCCTGTTCCTCCTCCAGACTCCCAGCTGCTGCCCTGGGCCTCACTCAGCATGTCAGAGAACCCTCTAGAGAGGGGAAAGGCAGCACGAGCACTGAGCCTGGGTGCCCCCCCCCCCCCATAGTTCTTGGGCAGCCACATTTCTAGGGCAAATTTTGTTTAAGGCTTTATTTAATTTATTCTTTTAAGCAGGCTCCACGCCCCGTGTGGGATCACACAACCCCGAGATCGAGAGCGGCACACTCTACCATCTGAGCCAGCCGGGCGCATTTCCAGGGCAACGTCTCACTCGCCACCCAGCACCCCCTATTCTAGGTGCCCAGTGGGACCACTTCCTCCCTGGCCCCCACACCCACGGCACAGACTTCTTCTGGCACCTGAAAACTCAGGTTGTGCTGGGCCACTGGGGGGGTGCCCACTCTCCTGAGAGCCCTGCCTGTGTGGGCTCCCCATTGTCCAGTGTGCCAACCCAGGGCAGGGAGCTGGGTTTCCAGCAGGGCTGGTGGAAGGGGCCGCAGGAGGACTGTCTCTCCCTCTTCCCCAACCCCTGCCATGGGCAGGGCCTGGCCAGGGTATAAATAGCACGGACCGCTGGGCTCTCCCCACTCTTCCTCTCTTCTCACCCTCTCTTCTCGTCTCTTCCTCTTGGCCTGGTGAGTCGTGGCCTCCCAACTAGCACACAAGGGTGTCAGGCCGAGGCTGGGGCAGGCTGGGCAGAAGGAGCGGCTGGTGGGGGCCAGGTGTGCTAAATGGGTCCAGTGTGAGATTCCGATGTGGAGGCCCTGGGGGGTGTGTGTGGATGTGCGTGCACCTGTGTGCCTGCATGTGCAAGAGGGAAAAACACACGCACACACAAAAGAAGTGCAGGTGGCTGGATCTGACCTAGCTGAGCGGTACTGAGATGCTGGCTTTTGCACATGCTGTTGCTGTAGTATGTGATGGTGTGTGTGTGGCATGTGGGTGTGCACATCGGCGTGTGTTTGCTGGTTGCACAAGCCTGTGTGTACACACTCGAGTGTGGGGAGCCAAGTGAAGGCAACTGTGGCCGTTTGTCTGGTCGTGTCCTCTGAGATTCTGCCCTGCACCCGGCAGCCCAGCCAGAGGCAGCTCGCCTCCCCTCCCCTCCCCTGCATCCCTGCCCCCGCCACTTCACCCTGCCCCTCCCTACTCTAGGGCTTGGTCGCTGGTTTTTTCCGCTGCAGGCCCCTGGGCAGGCCTCCAGCAGCACCAGGGTGCGGCTGCTGTGGTCACGGGGAGGCCTGAGTGAGGGGTGGAGCCGTCTGTTCGAGAGGCCCAGCCTGAGGGAGGCTGGGGAGTTTGCTGCCTGAAGCATCCGCTTCCCACTGTGCACCTTCCCCACCAGGAGCTGAGCCCCACCGTTCTGGGGTCCTCCTCTGGTGGCAGCAGAGGGTCATCAAGTGCTCCCTGAGGGATGGGAGTGGGATGAGACATTCTGACATTCTGAACACAAAGTTGAGGGTGCGGATGGGGAAGATAAGGGTGTCTCTGGGACCCTGTCCTCAGATCCTGACTGCCACCATGGCGTACCCCCTGGAGAAGGCTCTGGATGTGATGGTGTCCACCTTCCACAAATACTCTGGCAAGGAGGGTGACAAGTTCAAGCTCAACAAGTCAGAGCTAAAGGAGCTGCTGACCCGGGAGCTGCCCAGCTTCTTAGGGGTGAGTGGCCACTGCCTGGGAGTAGGCCCCATGTGCCCCCTTCCCCACAGAGGAGGGGCAAGGCCTGGGTGGGGGCTGTAGCCACAGCAGGCATCTGTCACCGAGATGGGGAAGTTGGGGCAGAGAGCTTGCCCTGACGGCTTGGTTGGAAACACACTGAGCACCTACCACTCTCTTCCTAGAGCCCAGCAGGAAGAGGGCTGGGAATGAACAGGTAGGTTGCGGACCAGACTCTGCCAGGTGCTTTGCACAGCTTAACTGAAGGGAAACAAAAGCTCAGAGAGGCTAAATAACTTCCCAAGGTAGGCAGAGTGCAAAGCCGAGACCCGCGAGTCAGGACTGTCCTGTTGCCATCAGTCCAGCAATGAACAATTTTTGAGTCTGGCTTGTGAATGTAAAGACACAGTTATGGAGACACATGCTTACTGCGCCCCCCTGCCCCCGCCCCCAGCAATCACAGATCCCATCTATATCAAACTTTATGCAGTTTATGCGTTACTTTCTAGGTGCCTGAGTAGCTCAGTAGGCCAAGCATCTGACTCTTGATTTCAGCTCGGTCATGATCTCATGGTTTGAGGGTTCAAACTCCGCATTGGGCTCCGTGCTGAGTGTGGAGTCTGGTTGTTATTCTCTCTCTCCCTCGGCCCCTCCCCCCACTTGTGGTGTTCCCCCCCCCCCAATAAACAAATAAACATTGTACATTTACTTTCGTGACTATTGTCTGACTGGATTCTTGAAACAACCTTGGGGAAGACACTGCGGTCCCCCTCTCCAGCTGCACCCAGGTACTCAGACTTCCTCACCCCTCGGGTTGACCTTCTGTGGCCCCAGCTTAGCCCCTGAGAGCCCAGAGCAGAGCACCCAGGGCAGGCCTCCTGGGAGTGGCTGCACTCCCGTGCCCCCATCTGGAGACGGAACCCTGGTCTGCACTCGGCTCCATCCAGGCTTTGTGGTTCTACCTGTCGCCTCTTCCTTGCAGAAAAGGACGGATGATGCGGCCTTTCAGAGACTGATGAGCAACTTGGACAGCAACAAGGACAATGAAGTGGACTTCCAGGAGTACTGTGTCTTCCTGTCCTGTGTCGCCATGATGTGCAACGAGTTCTTTGAAGGCTTCCCGGATAAGCAGCCCCGGAAGAAGTGAATGCCCGTCATGCGGGTGGGGGGCCTGCCAGCTGGGGTCTCACCTGTTGGCAGTGGCCACAGGGCCTCACCCTGGCTCCAGCAGGTGTGTGCACGATGTGGATAAGTTCAATAAAGATTCTTGGAAGCTTTGAGGCTGACGGTCTGAGACTCTGAGTATGGGTGGGAGTTGAGGGGCACGTGGGGGGTGGGGAGCCCTGGCTGTTGGCAGCTGTTTTGTGCGGAGCCAACTAGTGAAGGAAAGAAGGGGTGAGTGGAAGGGCGTCCATGTGTATGTGTGCGTGATGGAATTGACTAAGGGGCCGAGGGCAAGGAAAACACCCTCTAAGACTTGGAACACCCCAGCCGGGGGGTCTTGGCCAGCACACTGTCTCCTCCCACCCCAGCCCCACCTCTGGAGGGACTGAAGGTCACATCTGCTCCTGGCTGGGGTCTGGGATGGAGTTGGGGCATGCCTGGGTCGGGGGGCGGGGGGAGGGCTGAACCAGGAGGGCCCTGCCACCCTTGGGAGGCCACAGCATTGCAGCCGGCTGAGGATATCACCCTCTCAACCTCTGTTCCTGCCCCCAAAACCGTGGGCCGAGGGCCGTTATCACTTAGGATCCTGGTCCTTCAGAGAAGGACAGAGGGCCTCAAAGGGGCGACAGGAGGGTGGAAGTGCAGAGGTTGGGGGGTGACCGTAATTTTTGAGATGAAATTCCAGACACATGATCTGATAAATGAAACGGGAATTTTCCTTCCCCCAGAAAATGTCAGTCGTGATGTTCCTTCCCTTCGGATTAAAGGCTCGTGGGTAACTGACCCCACACTGCTGGCCGCCTGGGTGGTCGGGGGGCCTTTCAGAAGGAGGCGGGTAAAGGTCGTGTCCAGCAACAGGGGATTTTGGTTTTCTCAACCTTTCAAGCTTCCCCTTTTCTTCTCATTACATTATGTTTTTCTCTCAAGCGTCAGAGGAGTGGGGCAGGTGACTCAGATGTTCCCTGAGTGTGACTGCAGAGGCCCCGGGTAGGATTTTGGTCCAGGAAGAAGCCTGCCTCCTCCCCTTCTGTCTCCCCCTGGCTGCCGTCTGCCCTCCGGGGAGCCTTCTCCTGCATCATCTCTCTGCTTCGGAAACTCCTGTTGCTCAGCGACCAGTCCCTGGGGCCTCTCCAGGCCTGCCAGCTGGGGCGGGGGTGGGGGGGGGGGGGGCAGCGAGGAACACCCAGGCAGGCCAGGGGGAAGCTGTGGCACCCACAGGCGCGAGCCCCTAATCGGCCAGCTCTGCTCTCAGAGAGAGAGAGGGAGAACAGAGGGAGAACGATGTCCCTCCTGCGATTCAGGCAGCTCCCCCTGACTCTTGCCCCGTTCATTCCTGCACCCTGAACCTGCAGCCTCAATCCGCAGCCTCTACCCATCACTGGGCCCTAACTCTTCCTGGGTCCCCTCCCTGTCCCTGATTCTAAGTCTCTGAAATTCTTTCCCACGAACACGAGTGAGGTTTAGAAGAAATCATTCATTTAAAAGCCCTTTAAAAACCTTAGGCTCCATACTTGCTAATGACCTTGACCACGCCCTTGGCAGGAAACATCTTCCCTTCTGATCCATCTCAAGGTGTGATGGATCTGCTCTGCTCCTGGTGTGGGTGGGAGGGCCCCAATGTGGAGAGTGACTAGGGCATGAGGAGATACGCTGTTTTTGGCCCATGCTTCCTGGGTCTTTTTTCCAGGGATTTTGGTTTCTCTTCCATCCTGTTGTCCCATCAGATTGTGAGTGGTGATCTGTGGTTGGGAAAACAAAGTTTCTGGGACTGACGATGTGTGTGCCATGATGAACCCTACATGCTCCCTTCCCCTCTGTTTGGAAACCAGGAAGGTACTGGCAGAGGGGTTTCTCCCCAGCCCCATCCCAAGAGGCTCTGACTCCGGCCTTCTTAGGTCCCTGCCTTTCTCATTGGCTCTTTCCTTCCCCTGGTTTCCTGGGGACCAGAGCAAGGGAATAAAGGCAGGGAGTAGTGGGAGGGGGACTGTTTCTGCTGTTGTCTGCCCTCTCCTTTCCTGGTGAGTCCTTCCTTCTCACCTCCTTGCTCATCCGTACGGTGGGGCAAGCTGGGCGTAGGGGCCAGTGGGTGACAGGCTGTGGTGACCACCAGCAAGGAAGACCTGGCCTGATGAGTGGGCATGTGCTCAGGAGGGAAGGCGGAGCCTGGAATCGTGGCTGTCAGAGTTTCTGGAGAAGTGGCTCTGGGCACCGAGGTGTGATCAGAACCGCCAGGATGCTGTTGCAGACGCCCAGAGGCCCTTCCCTCCGCTGTGGTCCTGGCTGAGTCTCCTGGAGCTGGAGAGAGGCTGAGGTTTTGGGGTGGTAAGAGGTGAATGACAGATCCAGTTCAAGAATCAAAAGGTGGGCTTTGGGCTGAAGGCAAGAGCCAGCTGCCTCCTCCTTCTTGCTCTGGACTCCACACAGATTTACCTGGCATCCCCAGGTTCCTTGGGTGTTGTCCCTTTCTTCAAGTCTGGTGGGGAGTGGTTTTCAAGTCTGAGTCATGGGAGCTCCAGCTGCAGCTTCCCCTGGTGGGCATGACAATGCTGAGGGACACAGGGGACCCATTCAAACCCAACCTCTGGATCCAGCTTTCAGAGTGATCCTGGAGATTTCAACAGTGCCCGCCCGCCCCTGCCCCACTGTTGGTCTGTGTGTGCAGTTCTCAGGGCCAGAGACTGGAGACCAGCTGGACAAGTCGGATGACCTCTCCCCAGTGTCCTGCTGAGATATTATCTCCCAGTTCCAGCCCCAGCCCCCTCCAAACTCTGGACTCTCTCTTTGCCCTGTCCTCCACTTCTATAATGGGACACTCCCCACTAACAGGTGATTCAGGCACCCAGGCCAAGGAGGGTGATTAGGGTGAGGGCTGCCTCTGACAAACAAGTGCCCAAGCTAGATGGGCCAGGGACCCTTCTCAACTCCATCATCTGCCTCCAGTTCATCTTCTGGGGAAGTCCTCTTGTCACCTGCCCCTAGAGCCCTCTTCCAGCATCTCCTAAGCAGGAGAGTGCGTAGGCTCCTTTGGGGGATGGTTAGTCTCATCGTCCCGGCTCTTCCAAGTTTGCCTTGGGTCTTATTACAACCTTCCCTGGCACATTTGGGTCCATTTGTTGGTAGATTTCTGTCTCATCCAGGGTTCCAGTTTCTGGTCCTTTAGAGAAAGCCTTGGGGCTGGGCTGGTGATGGGGAAGCAGAAGGTCCGGCTTCCGGAGGATGGTGATCCTCTCCTCCCCCTTCACCCTCCAGAGCCACACACTGATGGAGACACCTCTTGAGAAGGCCCTGACCACTATGGTCACCACTTTCCACAAATATTCGGGGAGAGAAGGCAGCAAACTGACCCTGAGCAGGAAGGAACTCAAGGAGCTGATCAAGAAGGAGCTGTGTCTTGGAGAGGTAGGTGACCTCACCCCCACCCCAAAGCCCGAGTGCTTCCTGTGTACATCATGGGGGAGGAGGAAAGAAGGGGAAGCACCATACCCCTGCCAAGGGCTCCCCTCCTGTGATGTTGGAAGCCCAAACTGCAGGGACACACATCCGCCCTCCAAGTGCTCTAGTCTCAGCCAGGAGCAGGATAGCTCAAGGGAACCATCAGAGACCTAAAGCAGAGTGTGGACATCTTGGGCCAACAGATGCAAGAGCTCTATGCTGGGAGATGAGTTGTGTTTCACTGGGAAGGAGGAAGGGTGGTGTCCAGAGGGTGCATTACATTCCGTGTGAAAGTTTAGAAGTCAGAGAGCCTTCTGTGTTGAGGCCAGGCCCAGGCAGCCATGGAAGAGCCTTTGAGAGGGATCATGGGGGATGAGGGGCGTGGGTGTCCAGCTCGAGCTGGGTTCAGCTCAAGGCCAGGGCCTGCACCTGACTCTCCACGTCTCCAGGACTCCCAGCTGGCACTGACACAGGGACAAAAGGGGTCATTCTGCTAGTTGTGACACAAGGTTGGAAGGAGACAGATTGCTTCTTGCCGGATGGTGAAGGTGCGAGGTAGCTGACCAGGGTGGGTGGGAGTGAAGGCCTATGAGGAAATTACTATATTATTTTTACAGTTAAAAAAAAATGGAGGCTCAGAAACATGATCCAACTTGTCCGAGGACACTAGTGAGAGGCGAGTACTCCCTTTTTCCTTGAAAATCCAGGGTGGGGTCCTTTCTGGTCACATCCTGAACCTTGGTGGACCTCCCCAGAGAGACTCTCTCTGAGTTTGGCCCTTTGGGCAGCGACTGGAGCAGGTGTGGGTATCACTGAGCCTGCCCTCTGCTTTCCCGCCAGGTTGTCTGCATCCTGGAGTTAATGAGGGCAAAGGAAGGGGCACGGGTCCCTTAGGGGTTAATTACAGGGGGACAGAAGCCCTGGGGGAAGGCCTAACTTTAACAGGAGCCCAGACTGGGGACAAGGATCTCGTCACAGAGAGGCTGTTTCCATCTCCATTTGTCCTGATGTCTGTCTCCCGTGGGAAAGCGGGAGCTGGGGGCAGTGAAGAGGGGAGGGCAGAGTGTGTCTGTATTTTCTTCCTGTCCCACCTGAGGGCCCCGTCTCCACCCTCTTGGCGGAGAGCAAGGGACCGGACAGGGTGTAGCTGAGCCAGGGACTCCAGTCCACACGGCTGGGCTGCAGGCTCTCCCCGCAAGGGAAGGCTGGGGCGGCCGCTCAGATCCAGCACGTTGATCTCAGGACGTGTTGTCCGGGTCCGTCCTCGACTATCGTCTATGGGGTAAGCCTGAGACTTGGATCATGCTCAGTACCACGTGGTCACCAAGACATTTCTGCTAGACATTGTATAAAATCTAGAGACTGTTTCTGTGGATGGTGGAAAGTGTTGTGGAAAAGGGAGGCTGGACGGGCTTTCCTACTGACATTTGCTTAGATTCAGGAGTCGGACCACTGAACCCTTGCATGGTTCCAGGCCTGTGCTGGGTGTGGGCTGGGGCAGTCTGGGGGTCGAGATGTTCAGAGTGCTGCTGACCCTGCTGAGGGTCACCCTGAGGCTACCCCGAGGGGGTGGGTGGCACAGTGCAGTGGTGAGGCAAGGCTGGGCAGGGTGGCTGACCGGACCCTCTCTCTGGGCTCTCTAAGAAGATGAAGGAGAGCAGCATTGATGACCTGATGAAGAGCTTGGACAAGAACCGTGACCAGGAGATCGACTTCAAGGAGTACTCAGTGTTCCTGACCACTCTGTGCATGGCCTACAATGACTTCTTCCTGGAGGACAGCAAGTGACCAGAGCTCAGCCCCTTGCCTGTGGCCTCTGTAGCTCCTCTCACAGACCCTCTGTGGACCCTTGCCCTCCTCTCCCTTCCGGACAGACCCTGCTTCGGCCTTCCTTCTGGCAGGGGAAATAAAAATGTTTGATTCCAGGCTGGTTTTGAAGATACCTTGTCCACCTGGGTTGGGGGTGTGTGGCACAAGGCAGAGCTTCTCTTCCAGGGGGTTGAGAGCCTCTGGGGTTAGGGTCCTGGGCTCCGCCCCTACTTCCTGCCCTCCTTCAGTGTGGATGTCACTGAGTTTACTGGGCTTCCAGAAAATGGGGAAGTTGGGCCAGGTTTTTTCCCTCGCTTCCAAGAGAAAGCTAAGGGAAGAGCTTGGGGAGGGGCAGGGTGGGGGTGGGGGAGGCTGGGGTGTGGCTCCTGAGTGCAGCGGTGGGCAAGCCAGTCCGAGGCCACAGGAGGCCACCCTGACAACACCCTTGCCAGCCCCCTTTACGTCTCCCCCAATTCCCCCCCCCCAGAACCCTCCCCCCCCCCCCCCCCCCCCCCCCCAGTCTGTGGGGTCCAGTGCTTTCTGCTGTCCCCACTTCCCTTTATGAAAGTCCTTTCTCAGGAGAAGATCTGGAAACCTTTTCACTGGAGCGTAAATAACTAAGGCCAGGGCCAGTGTGCACACAAAGGCGGGTGGGGGGGGGGGCGGTACTGCAGGTGGGATTCCAGGTAGGGGGGCGCGGAGGTGCGGAGGGCGCGGGGGCGCGGGGCTGCGGGGCTGAGGGGGTGCGGGCTGAGGGCTGGGGAGGAAGAAGGGTTGTGAGAGTGGTGCTGGGAGTTCTGCCGAGGCGTGGGCGCTGTAGATACCTTTAAATCGAATCCCGCAGACCCCTGGCTGCCCCCCTCCTTCATCTAGGGCTGATCCTGAACCCCGTCTGGGGATCCTAGCCCCCTGCCCCGGGGGCTCGGTGTCCCTGGATGCAGCGACCTCCCGTAGGATTCCCGTTCTTCCACCGGCTCTTCCAGCCCCGGAACCCGGAACAGCCCCGGGCAGGAGGGGGGCCCCCCGGGGGTGTGTGGTATAGACGGCTGGCGCCCGGCGGGCCTCGGCGGAAGGGTGGGGTGGGGGCGGGGCTGGCCTGGGGAGGGGGGCGGGACCGGGGGGGTGTTGCCCGGGGCCCCGGGGGTGGGCTCTGGCCCGCCCGGCCTCCGCTCCCCGGCCGCTAAAAGGCGCCCTGGACGCCACCCCGCTGGTCGCTCGACGCTGTCCCGCCGCGCGGTGAGTGCCCTGGGGTGAGTCCGGCCCGGAGCCGGCGGGCGGCTTCCCCGAGTGCGCCCCGGGCTGCAGGAGGGCGCTCCCCGGGAGCGTCGGCACCGCGTGTGTGCTGCCCCCCTAGTCCCCTCCTCCCCAACCTGCGGGACCCCTAGAGGCCGGGTCTCAGCTGGTGCCCCGTTTGCGCCCCGACCACCTCTCCTCCAGGACTGAGGTCCGCCTCTCCCAGCCTCCCCCCCAATCCCTCCCCCCTCTCCCCCAAGTCCTGGGCTGGCTCCTGACTCCTGCGCGGCTGGGCAAGGCAGTCCCAGGCGGGATGGTGGGGGCCGAGCTCTGGGGTATGTGGGAGCGTGGGAAGGCCCTGACCAGCCGCTCCACCCCAGCTCCCAGCCCAGCGCCCAGCCATGGCATGCCCCCTGGATCAGGCCATTGGCCTCCTCGTGGCCATCTTCCACAAGTACTCCGGCAGGGAAGGCGACAAGAACACCCTGAGCAAGAAGGAGCTGAAAGAGCTTATCCAGAAAGAGCTCACCATTGGCCCCGTGAGTCTCCCCCCCCCCCCCCCCCCCCCGGGGCCCCAGAAGCAGGATCAGGAGAAGGGGAGGTGCCATGGGACTCACAGGTATCCACGTCCTGGGGCCCAAGTCGCATACCTGACTGGGACGGTTGGTCAGCCCTCCTATGCAGCCCCGTGCTCGCTGTCCCTGAGTAACTCTGCAGGAGCGAGCACTACAGCCAAGTGACCCCGGGGGGGACAAGCCAGCACAGGGCCACTTGTGTGAGGGAGGGGGAAAGGGAGAGAACCCAGGGCTCTCACCACTGTTGAGTCTGGATTTCCCATTCTAACGTGTTAGAAGCTGCAGGATGCTGAAATCGCAAAGCTGATGGATGACCTTGACCGGAACAAGGACCAGGAGGTGAACTTCCAGGAATATGTCACTTTCCTGGGAGCCTTGGCTTTGATCTACAATGATGCCCTCAAGGGCTGAAAATAAATCAGGAAGGTGGAGACACCCTCTGTCGGTCCTAAGTCAAATCCAGTGGTGGGTAATTGTTCAATAAATACCTTTTTTGGTCAAGTTTTCCTCTGTCCTGGCTTCCTAGTGATTTGTTCCCCTCGGTGCTGCACCAGCCATCATACAGTTTGCTCATGGTCACCTCTGCAAGTGACTCAGCGATGTCCCCTGCCTGGGGCCACCCTAACAAGGCCGCTACTAACTCATAAGGTGCCTTTACATCAATTAGAAAAGGGTCTCACTCGGGGCAAAGACATCTTAAGGAAGTCCCCAGTAGAGGGTCCCCAGCAGAGGGGGTTCTGGGATGGGAGTGCCGAAGGAGATGGTTCCTGAGCCAGGCTGTGCTAGGTCCAGAGTGGGGCAGACATAGTCTGGCCGGGGTCCCTGAACACAAAGCTGTTTTGTTCTGAGTGTGCTGAGGGGAGAAGGGCCGTGGGGTTGGACCCATCCACTTTCTCACCGCGGTGAGACGGAGCAGAGGGCACATCTGGCCCAAAGCTTGGCTGGAGAGTGTTCTGAGGCCCTGGAGGACACTGTATGGCTGAGTCCACAGCAGCTGCCCGTGGCCCAGTCAGAGCTGGGGGGCCTACTTTAGGAGTCTGTCCCTGTATTTAAGTACAGGGTCCTTTGTGTTGGGGGTGGTGATCTGAGGAGCAGGTACCTGCACAGATAAATCAGGGGGTGTTCAAGAAGGAGGCAGGGTGGGGTGCTCACCAAGGGGGCAGAGTGAGGGGTGCTCACCAAGGGGGAAGAGTGAGGGGTGCTCACGAAGGGGGCAGGGTGAGGGGTGCTCACCAAGGGGGCAGGGCAGGGTGCTCACCAAGGGGGCAGGGTGGGGTGCTCACCAAGGGGGCAGAGTGAAGGGTGCTCACCAAGGGGGCAGAGTGAAGGGTGCTCACAAAGGAGGCAGGGCGGGGTGCTCACCAAGGGGGCAGGGCGGGGGTCTCTGGGGGTGGGCCAACTGCAGGTTCAAGTCTTTCAGTCAATACTGAGCTGGCCCATCCCTGCAGCCTCAGCATAATGACTCACCCTTGGAACGCAGCCTGGCTCTCAGCCCCGTCAGGGAGGGTGACTAACTGAATGATTGAGTCCATTGTTTGCATTTGTGTTTTCAGGGTTGGGGGTTCAGGGTGAACTGTGTCTCAGTCACTGTGCTCAGCCCTCCAGGCCTAGTCTGAGCCAGGCCAGCGCCTCTGTTTTGGGCACCTCAGAGGGGGGCCATGTTCTCCTTCCTCTGTCTCTTCCCCACTTCCCTGGGGGCCCAACTTAGTGGAGTTGTCTTCCTTCTCTGTGGGGAAGCGAAGAGAGCAACTAGCCCCTCCTCTCATCGTCTCTCCTGCTTCCAGGGAGTAGGAAGTGACACTGGTGGGAGCAGGAGAGACCCAGGGTCCCCGAGCTCCCCGAGCTCCAGGTCTGCAGGGCATCGTCCAAGCCTTGCTTGGCTCTATTCAATTCCCTCTGGAAAAGTACCTTCCCCACCCACAGTGGCTGCCAAGTGGTGGAGCCCGCGCCCTCGTGTGGGCAGAGAGCAGGGTGCTGGGGGAAAGTGGGATTGGTCTTCTTGAGCCCTGGGGAGGGCGTGGGGGGATGGAACCCACAGCTCTGGCCCTCACGGAGCCCTTCTTATGAGGAGGGAGATGGGACTTGGCTGCCCAGGGAATGTCAGCAGGGGATCTTTTGGCTCCAGCAATTGATTCCCATATAAAGCCCCTCGACTTTGTCTAAGACAAGCCTGCATGAGTCAAGGAAAGAAAGGCGACAAATAGAATTTGAACCCCGCACCTCCTCTTCCCTCTTTCAGGGGAAGACTTGGTGCAAAGAGGGAGGAGGAGCCGCTCAGGCCAGGCTCAGCCCCACGTTTCCGGAGAGCCCTAGTGCCTGGAGGGCCAAGAGGCCGAACACAGCCCACCTGCTAGATCAGCAGCATATGGTCCCCAGCTTCTGCTTCTCCACGGTAGTGGAGGGAATGGGCACATGGATTTTAAAAATAAAACAAACCCCAAGTAAATAGCAAAACTTTTTGTTGGCTTTAAGGGTGATTAAAAAAAATTTTTTTTTAATGTTTATTTATTTTTGAGAGAGAGAGAGAGCACAAGCAGAGAAGGGGCAGAGAGAGAGGCAGACACAGAATCCGAAGCAGGCTCCAGGCTCCAAGCTGTCAGCACAGACCCCATGCGGGGCTCCGGCCTCGAACTCACAGGACGTGAGATCAGACGTCCTGCCGACTGAGCCACCTAGGCACCCCAATTTTTTTTTTAAGATTTCAGTTTTAAGTAATCTTTACCCCCAACTTGGGGCTCAAACTCAACCCTGAGACGAACAGTCTCACACTCTACCGTCTGAACCAGCCATGCACCTGAGGGTATGATTTTAAAGGTTTTTAGGGGCCCCTGGGTGGCTCAGTCAAGCATCCGACTTCGGCTCAGGTCATGATCTCACAGTTCCGTTCGTGGATTAGAGCCCGACGTGGGGCTCTGTGTTGACAGCCAGAGCCTGGAGCCTGCTTCAGATTCTGTGTCTCCCTCCCTGCTCATGCTCTGTCTGTCTCTGTCTCAAAAATAAGTAAACATTAAAAAATTTTTTAAAGGTTTTTTTCTGGGGGGGGGATGGTGGTGGGAGGAAGCAGTATTTCTAAAGGAATCTGGTAGGTGAAGACATTAAACGTGGAATCGGGGGTGGAAATGAGCACAGACTGCTCATTTTTATCTTGTTTGCCTTTAATTGACCTAAAATTGAAGTAAGCCCTGTGTGCTCACTCGGTGGTGTGGGCGTCTGGGCTTAGAGGAGAGGGAGACGTTCAGAAGTGAGCCGGGGGCTTCATTCATGCTCTGTCCCTTTGCTGAGGCTGATCTGGGAAGTCCAGTTCACCTGCAGGTGGGACGGTGGGAGTGGCTGTGACCCCATTCCCGTAGCTGAGGCTCTTTCCCCCGTGGATGACCCCCTTCGACCTAGTCATCCTGACACCCTGAGGCTGAAACCACAGGGCAGCCCATTTTGTAAGCTGGGACGGGGCCAGGAAGAGGGTGCAGAACTGAGTCACAGGACGTAGCTCTGTTCTCTGTCCAACAAATCTGAAATTGTTAAAGATGATGCCACTTTACATTTGTGTAGCACTTTTACTTTTATAAGACACTTTTGTATCCGTTGTCTTTTGTGAGCCTCAGGTTTGTGTGTAGTATGTATTGTTAGCCCCATTTAATGGGTGAAAAGACTAAGTTACAGGTAACTAAGAGCCTCTACCTGGGGGTGCGGTCAGAGCTTGGCCGTCCCCCTCCCCTCAGTTCACTAGTGCGCATCTTATCATGACGTAGTTTGGCCATTTTTGCTTCATCTTTTTCTTTTACATGTTTTAATTGTGTACAAAATGATCTATGGAACACATCTAAGAAATAAGAATCGAGGGGCGCCTGGGTGGCGCAGTCGGTTAAGCGTCCGACTTCAGCCAGGTCACGATCTCGCGGTCCGTGAGTTCGAGCCCCGCATCAGGCTCTGGGCTGATGGCTCAGAGCCTGGAGCCTGTTTCCGATTCTGTGTCTCCCTCTCTCTCTGCCCCTCCCCCGTTCATGCTCTGTCTCTCTCTGTCCCAAAAATAAATAAACGTTGAAAAAAAATTAAAAAAAAAAAAAAGAAATAAGAATCGTGCACAAAACCCTTGAGTTTAAGAAATGAATGTTACTTTTACTTTGCAATCCCCTGGATAGCCTTCCCCATCTCATCTCCCTCCCTTCCAGTGGAACCATCATCTCATCATTGTGTTTATCATTTCTTCTTTCTTCAATAATAATTTTTGCTCCTGGGGCACCTGGGTGGCTCAGTCAGTTAAGCATCCAACTCTTGATTTCTGCTCAGGTCATGATCTTTCAGTTCACGGGATTGAGTCCCAAATTGGGCTCTGTGCAGACAGTGAGGAGTCTGCTTGGGGTTCTCTCTCTCCCTCTCTCTCTCTGTCCCTCCCCTGCTCACGTTCCTGTGTGTGAGAGTGCCCTTGCAGTCTCTCTCAAAGCAAATAAGCATTAAACAAGAGAAGTGTTTAAAAAATATTTTTGCTACTAATATTTTAGTATTAAATACTAAATATTTAATCTTCTGTTCCAGAAAAATGTATTAAAAATTCCATCTGTTCATCACTCTGTAATGTCCGTTGTGTAGTAAATGTAAGAGGGTCTGTTTTCAAGCTCTCTTTTCTGTTCCATTGATTGATCTACTTCTATGCCAATGCCACTCCATCTTTAAAAAATTTTTATATTTCTGTAATAATCCTTGACACGTGGTGAGGCAAATCTCTCACCATGCTCTTCATTTTCAGGGATATCTCTGCTATTCTCTACTTTAATTAATTAATTAATTAATTAATTAATTAATTTTTGGATTCTACTCCTTCTGTCTTTATTTTCCAGAAGGAAACTGTCCTCAATCTTCTAGTCCATTAAAAACCTGCCATGTGTGATTGTGTCATCCTTGATGATCTTCCCTGCAGATGACACAAATGGCCTCACATTGCTTCAGTCCACTGGACAGTATTCAGGAGCATGTGATGCCATGGGCCACTCTCTTTTGCACATCACACATTACTGGCTTGGTTTGCAACACACTGCAGGCTCTGGTGTTTCTTGGTCCTCTACTTTAAAATATACACGTCAGCGTGATCTTGTTAAGTCCCACAGAACAACTTGTTGGGGTTCTGTTTGACATTGCATAGATTCTGTGGATCAGCCTGTGGAGAATGTTGAATCTTCCAATCCATGAACATGGTTTACCTCTCTATTTATTTAGATCTTTAATGTCTTCGAATAGCATGTGATCATTCTCACCAATGCACACTTAATTGTACAATTTATTGACATTGTTGCAAATGGCATGTTTTAAAAAAATGTTTGTTTTTGTTATTGGTATAGAAATGCAATTGAGTTTCTACATGCTTAAATATAAAACAAAACAAAACTTACCATTTTAACCATTTTCAAGTGTTCAGTTTTGTAGTTGGGCAACAGATCTCCAGATCTCTTTCATCTTGCAGAACTGAAATTCCACATCCATTAAACAAAAACTCCCCATTTTCTACCCCTCACCTGGTCTCTGGCTCCAGCATGCTGCTTTCTGTTTCTATGAATCGACTGCTTTAGATATCTCATGTAAGTGGAGTTATACAGTATTATCTTTTTTGGTGACTGCCTTATGTCACTTAACATAATGTCTCCAAGGTTCATTCATATATAACATGTGACAAGATTTCTTTCCTTTTTGTTATTGAGTTTTGTATTGATTTTATATTCAGAAACTTTGCTAAATTTGTATTATTTCTAATAATTTAGAATCTTTTGGGTTTTCTTTAGAGCCAATTATTTCAATCTGCAAATCAAAATTTCCCTTTTTCTTTTATAATACATATGACTTTTATTTATTTTTCTTTCCTATTGCTTTGGCAAGGACCTCTTGTATTTTGTTAGTACCTTGTTAAATAGCAGTGTTGGTGGACACACCTTTTTGTTTCTAATCTTAAAAGAAATACTTTCAAATGCTACACCATTAAATGTGATATTTACTGTAGTTTTTTTTTTAAAGAATCTTTAATAAGAAATTAAAGTTCTCTTTATTCTGTTTTCTGAGTTTTCATTTAAAATCATGAATTTATATTTTTAAAATGCTTTTTCTGCATATATTAAGATGATTGCTTAATTTTCTCTTTTAGCTGTTAATAATGAATTATGTAAGTTTATTTTCTTTTTAAAAATACTATATTTTAAAATGTTTATTTATTTTTTGGGGGGAGGGGAAGAGAGAGATGAGAGGCAGAATCCAAAGCTGGCTCCATGCTGTCAGTGCAGAGCTGGCCTCAGAGCTTGCTGTCACAAACCGTTAAGATCATGACTTGAGGGGCGCCTGGGTGGCTCAGTCGGTTAAGCGTCCGACTTCGGCTCAGGTCACGATCTCGCGGTCCGTGAGTTCGAGCCCCGCATCAGGCTCTGTGCTGACTGCTCAGAGCCTGGAGCCTGTTTCAGATTCTGTGTCTGACCCTTCCCCGTTCATGCTCTGTCTCTCTCTGTCTCAAAAATAAATAAATGTTAAAAAAAAAAAAAAAGATCATGACTTGAGCTGAAATCAAGAGTCAGACACTTAACTGACAAAGTCATCCAGGTGTCCCTATAACTACTTTCTATCATTAAACCATTTTTATATTTCTGGGATAAACCCATCTCAGTCATGACGGGTCAGTTTTTATATGTTGCTGAATTTGGTTTGCTAGCATTGTATTTCAGATTTTTACTCTTGAGTAAAACTGGTTTATAATTTTCCTTTCTTGTATTATCCTTGCAGGTTTGGATATAAAGGTTATACTGGCCTCATAAAATGAACGGGAGAAAGTTTTCTATCCTCATTTCTTTCTTTCTTTCTTTTTTTTTAACTTTTATTTATTTAAGTGATCTCTACACCCAACATGGGGCTCCAACTCATGACTCTGAGATGAAGAGTTGTTCACTCCTCCAACAAAGCCAGCCAGGAGCCCCTTTCTTCCTCCATTTCTAAACTTAAGCATATTGTGTAGAAACCTGAAATTTGTTCCTTGAATGGTTTTCATGAATCTCATTGGTAAAATCTACCAGGAGTTTTCTTTGTCATAGACTTTGAACTACTGGTGCCATTTCACATGGTCATTGAGCCATTCAGTCTCTCTACTCCCTCCTTGTGTCAGATTGGTGAGATTTTTCTTTAGGAATTTACCCATTTCATCTACATTTTAAAATTTATTGATATAGGGGCACCTGAGTGGCTCAGTCGGTTGAGCGTCTGACTTCAGCTCAGGTCATGAACTTGCGGTTCATGAGTTCAAGCCCCACATCAGCCTGTCAGCACAGAGCCTGCTTCAGATCCTCACTCTCCACAGCCCCCTAAATAAATAAATAAATAAATAAATAAATAAATATTTATCAATATAAAATTATTCATTATATACTCTTATTATTTATATACTGGAAACACGAAAACTCCTCTTTTGGTTCCTATTGTTAATTTGTGCCTTTCGTTTCTTTTCATTTTCCTTGAATAATATTGTTAGAGGGATGTCTTTTTTTTTCCAGTGTTTTTAATAAACTAAGTTTGGCTTTATCAATTCTATTGTATTTTTGTTTTATATTTTATTAAATTATGCTCTTTTATTTTCTTCCTTCAGCATAGTTTGGATTTATTTTGAGATGACTCATTTATTTGTAAAATTTTGTCTTTTCTAATATATGACTTTAGGCTGTACACTTTCCTCTAAGAACTGTTTTCGCCACACCCCAAAATATGTATATTGTTGTATTGTTGTATATAAATATGTAATTGAATTGTTAAGCTCTAAGCATTTTCTAATTTAATTATGATTTTCCATCTTTTTAAACATTTTTTTTTAAAATTTTTTTTCAACGTTTATTTATTTTTGGGACAGAGAGAGATAGAGCATGAACGGGGGAGGGGCAGAGAGAGAGGGAGACACAGAACCGGAAACAGGCTCCAGGCTCTGAGCCATCAGCCCAGAGCCTGATGCGGGGCTCGAACTCACGGACCGCGAGATCGTGACCTGGCTGAAGTCGGACGCTTAACCGACTGCACCACCCAGGCGCCCCTGATTTTCCATCTTTTAATCAATACTTTTTAAAAGCCTATATTTGTATTAAAATATTTAAAAGTCTATAATTTTCAAACATATGCCTTTCTTATAGGCATCCATTTGTTATTAATTTTTAGCTTATTTAAATTGTAGTCCCATAACAGGTATGACATCAATCTTATGGAATGTGTTGAGATGTCCATTCTCCTTCTTCTAGCATGTAGTCAATTACATAAAAGTGTAGAGCTTCAGAAGAGCATGTATTCTATAGTTTTCTATTTCCTTTTTTCTTATGGAGATTTTTGTCTGCTTGTTCTCTGAATTACTAAAAAAAGGATGTTGAAATATCTCTCCACGGCTGTGAATTTATGAATTTCTTGTTGTAATTCTGTTAATATCGGCTTTATATATTTTGAGGCTATGTTATTAAATGCAGAAAGTTCAGAATTGTTATGTCTTTGGGGGATTTTTGTATTAATATGTGACTATTTTATCTTTGATAATGCTCTTTATTTTTTTTTAAGTTTATTTATTTGTTTATTTATTTAGAGACTCAGAGAGTACTAGTGGGAGAGGGGTAGAGAGAGAGGGAGAGTGAGAATCACAAGCAGGCTCTGTGCTGTCAGCCCCATGTGGGGCTCAAACTTAAGAACTGTGAGATCATGACCTGAGCTGAAAGCACTGGTTATGGATAGTAAGAAACCCTCTTTATGGCTCCGAAGCATTTTTCAGGAATTGAAGACAAGAGATGAAATATTAAAACAAAAGAGGCTTCCATTGCTCTTCTTACTCAAGAAATTCCAAGGTTTTTGGGAGTTCTGAGCCAGAAACTGGACGAAGTCTAAGTATAAATGAGAAATATACGTTGGTCATTTGAATGACCAAAAATACATATTTCTTATATCACAACATCATACTCCTCTTCTTTTCTCTTTCAATGTTGGGTTTTTAATATTTATCTTTATTGATTTTGTCCTGAATGTATACATGAGGCATTGCAGACAGAGACAAGATTTCTTATTAATGACCTTAAATTAAGTACATAACCAAGGTGTCAGGGCTGCCTTGGCTCAGATGTCACCCTGGGCCAGGCCACATTCGGGGAGCAGCATCCAAGGCTAGAACAAGGAAAAATGATTTTTCTTTACTTATAAAGGGGGTTTAAAAAGAGAGAACAGGCCACAAATGGAGTCAATAAACCAAGACTTAACACCTGACCCAACTGCAGCCTCAACCTTTCCCAGGAAGGTGAACTTTAGCTAGTCAATCTGGAATTATCTGGCCAGCATTAGTGAGGTGATCACTGATAGACCCTGTCTGTCCCCCATACGAAGATGAACTTGCCTCAAACAATCGCCCCCCCCCTTTTTGGTAGAAATGTCTTTTTCTTCTGCTTTCTTCTGTCTGTAAAAGCCTTCGATTTTGTACAGCTCTTTGGAGCTCCTATCTGTTGGATGGGATGCTGCCTGATTTGTGAATCGTTGAATAAAGCCAACAAGATCTTTAAGTTTTACTTTGTTGAATTTTGTTTTTTAACAAGGGGAAGAGGACAGTTGTCCTCTTTTTTTCTGAAAGAGTCTCCTTGGAAGTATCACAGGCCTGAATCTTAACACCACCCTTTGAAATGTGAATAAAATTTATCCAGGAAGCAAACAGCCCTGGTTTAGGTCCCAGAGATGTCTCTAAATTCTGCCTCTTCATCTCTATTAAAGTATAAATACCTAGCACGATAGCCTGCCAGTCTCCCAGGCACCTTAGGCATAGGGACCTACTCCAGGTGGTAAGCACCTTCCCTTGGGAGATAAGAGAAGTTTTATTATTCTTTTGGATCAGAGCACTTAACTACACAAATGGCTACAAATATAATCCTCAAGGTATGTGACGAGTCTCAGGAGGCTAGGGCTTGTACTGCACCACAGAGCACTGCCCTGAAGTTTTATTTCCAGACTCAGCCAACCACTGTTAATGAACTGAAATGCATTCTTCTGTAGATGTCTTTATGTGCTTTATACTTTACATGTATAGCTGCACTAAGATGCAACATAGGTGTTTTTGTACACTGTAATTACATTATAAAAATGGGATCATGAAAGATACCACTCTCATTTTTTCTCATTTAGCCATATATCACGGAAATCCCTTCAAGTCAAGCCGGCAGAGCTCTAAATCTTAGTTTTAATGGCTAAATCTTTGTTTTAATGCTACGTGGCAGGTGGGCAGGGACAAGCGAAAGAGAAACTTTAGTGAGCCGGGGGTCATTCCCAGTGCGACGTCCAAGGAGCTCTTTACCCCCGCGCCCGGTCCTCCGAGAGCCCAACTTCCTTGCCCTGCCCTCCCAGAGCTCAGGGGGAGGAGGGCAGGTGAGAGGGCCCCTTCCTCTCCTCAGGAAGGCCAGAGTCACAGCTGTTGGACGGCTTTCTCCTGCCTTCAGGCTCAGTTCACGGCTTTGGGACAGAGAGGGTTCCAAAGGGCTGCCCCACCTCCCCCCTCAGGGGCCACCCTTCCCTCTTCCGGAAGTCCGACCTCCGGAAGCTCCCGAGCTGCCCTGCGCCTGTCTGCGGCGCCGCCGCCTTGCTCTTCTCGGGCTTCCCCCGTGCTCCGGAGTGCTAACGGAGCTTCCCTAAGCCAGGCTTTGCCGGCTGGTGGAGAAGGGGGGGGGTATCCGGAGGTGGGGGGCGAGTTCCATGCTCAGGAATGGCGGCTCTGGCGGCTCTGGCGGCTGTGACTGATTTCCTTCCGGGTTATTCGGAAGCAGGGCCACTGATGACCCAGCGGCCCTTGGCGCTTCTGCTTCCAAGACTCTTCTCCACAGAAACTATTAAACATTATATTTTGTGACGGTGTTAGTATGAAGACAAATGTAAACCAAGATGGATTCATTATTATATAATCATTACTATTGTATTCAAATTTCTTGTGTTTTTAAAAGAAATGAAGATGAACACATTTCCAGCACCCTTGGCATGGTGCTTCCTGGGCCTGATGGGTGCCCCCCATCTAGAGACCAGCA